GTTTTATTAGACTTACGTGAACTTTAATGAACTTCTAAAGTCTATCTAAATTCAAAATCCATGAATTTTAGACTTTAAAACTTTAGACTTTAGAAGTTCATCAAAGTTCACGTAAGTCTAATAAAACCTGTAAAAGTCCAAAGTCCACTTTTTTCTCATTGCCTAGTATGCCTTGAGAAACTCTCGATGTTGCTGTGTTTTCAATAACGTTTTGCCAAAGATCATTTGAATCATACATCGTTCATAAAGAAAAAAACGTCTGACAACTTACCATACATCCAATTTTTAAAATTGCCCGTATCGATGATAGGTAAGCACGATCAATTTTCCCATCTTCAGATGGGGCTGCTAATGATTGCTGTGGTACACCTCCCATATAATTTGATGGAATATTAACATTACTCATTTTCAGTTAATAATAATATTCACGTTCGAATCTTGTTTATAGCAACAAACTTCTACTACTCTAAAGCAAACATAATCGAGATGCTGATCTATCACTGTCTTTGCGTTCGTTATAGCAAACAAAAAAATCTATTCTGTTAATTTATTAAAGAAGGAGCGATAGAGACAGAATACGTAATGGGTCACTTTATTATACGAGAAAAGAATAATGTTTCTGCAAATAATATGTATCTATATACAATGACCGGAATATGTATGGTGATGTTGTTGTTCTTTCTTTCTGTCTTCTTATTCATATATATATAATAAGCTATTTATTTTCTTTTTACATCTACGGATCATGTGTTTCTGTCTCTGCTCTCTTTCTTCCTTCCTCTCTATATCTTTTTTTTTATGTTGTTTTAGAGGCTTCCTTTCCTCTTCGGAAAGGGGAATATAGTTGCACAATGTAGATAAATATCGTTTCAATCAAAAGGTAAATGAATCCTTGCAGTTTCGTGAATCTGAAATATCTTTTATCGTGTGGCTGTAAACGAAAATGAGTTCTGATAGAGTATTAGCAATTTTACCTAATAACAAGCTGGAGCTGGCGGTTATGCTCTTTTGATTATTAAAAAATCCATTATATTCTTCTGCTAGTAGATAAGAACAAAAAGAACTTAATTTCTTCTGTTAGACTAGAGAAATCAGATACGCACGTTTTCGTTTTGACAATAATTGTCTGTAAGATATTTACAAACCTAATATTAGTAAGAAAAATAGAATAATTTCTAATTTATTATTTACAGATGGCACAACAGAGATAGAAAATAAAATTTGACTTTTGAAAAAGAATATATAATATGATAAGAGTTTAAGTACATAATGAGAGGATATGTGGAACGCTTTAATTGATTCAACTCTTGACTATGAAGCGACTTGTAATTTGTCATGATGTGAAATGTTAGGATAGTCAAAGTGTGATAGAAAAATTAATTTTATAATAGTACAGGCGACTTCTATTTGAGCGAAAAAGTTTCATTTCACTAACGTATACGTATAAATATTAACTTTTTCGTAAATAATTTTCTGCAAATATTTTCTCGTAGTCTTTCCATAACATGATAAAGTAACTCAATCTTTATTTTATCAGAGATGCGATAAAAAACGAATCACTTAGACTTATATTTAGCTATGTGGTTGACATAATCATTTGTTTTTTTCATAGAATGAAACTTTTGGAAGTTCAACAAGGCAATTCTATCACCGAAAAAGTGCTTTTAATAAATTTATTTAGACTAATCATATATCATGAATTTCTCAGATATGTTCGGTTTTTGCAGTGCAAAATCTGTTACCTTTCGATTTCATTTACAGCGAATATACGTTTTTAGATATCGCTCCATATTTATTAATCTTATTTGTTTGTTTGTTTTTTTCTGATGTACATATAGCGGAACAAAAACAGTATATATTTTTTTGAAGACATTTTTTATGTGAAAGACTAGAAACTAGATTACAGAGAAAAGAAAAGAGCAGACCCTTAATAAAAGTAATGTCGAACTAATGTTGATGTTAATGGGACTGATCGCATTATCATATTTTTCTTGGATTTGCATGAACGAACAACGCAAACGGTTGGAAGTAAAAATAAATTTTCTATATATTCATGTTGATCATATCTTGTATATGACGGCTGATATTATTCTATTTAGGGACAGAGGTTTGAAACAGGAAAAAAACGGATTGGTATGCCCGTTGGCTTTTTCCAGATAACAAACAACCAATAGTCTTCAAATACGTCAATCGAACACACTCGTTAAAATTTAAAGAGTTGGCTAATTAGTCGTGAATTTATCTTTTTTTGCACGAGTATCCACATATTAAATGCTTCATTATACTTCTAAACACTTTTGATTGCATGATTTCCTTTCTACTGTTTTCTTCCTTCTCATAACTATTTTTCCAATTGGAGGTTCATCCAGGCACTCAAAGATACCCAAGTAGGCTACGGCAGTACAGTTTTTATCTTAAGTACTAGTCCGACTAGTCCACAGACTGGCAACTTCGAGAAGTCTTCGAGACCCCCAGAAAGCAAAAGTCACTTAGACAAATCATCAGTATTTCGTGTCATCAGGAAAAAGTGCGAGAAAATGGTAGAGCTCGTCGAATACTACAACTTTGCCTACTGGAGGGGGAACAGTTGATCTACCTTTTCTCTTCAGAATTCTTTTTTTATTTTGCGCTAATAAGTAATTGATTTGCACGCGTCGAAAAGCATTTCATAAGCATCAACACGCCTGCAAACGTCTCTTTACGCTTTATCACGCGTATAAATATTCGATCAATGAATGTTCTAACTTGTAGAGTAATACCCCATCCTACAGTGATGACGTGTGTGAATGGTATAACGAAGGATTTGTGTGCCTGTTTATGTTGTGGAAACAATGAGCCATCAATTATCAAGGCGCGAACACGAAAGATCTAGGTTTCGGTTAATATGCCAGCTTTCCTCCTGTACTGCATAGTGTCCTGCATCAAGCATAAAATTTCACGGACATTTTGACTTGGTAGTTAAGAGATTTTGGGCAGTCATGATTAATTAATTGTCACATTGTATCTCAGGCGCGTGATGAAAATCACCTACTTCTCAGTGACCGATTACTTACACTCGATTAGTATCAGATAATATGCACACTGGTTGCCGATTTTACACTAATGTAGAAAAGATCCTTAAGCTTTGTTTAAGAAGGATTGCACAAGTGCTAGTAATAATAGAAATTTATATATGTCAGATATTTTTGTCTTTCAACAATCAGTCAAAAAGAGACAGGCATTAAGATTCTTGTCAGAATGAGTCGAATACTCAGTTACATGCAGTTTCACAGTAACTGCAAAAGCCGTTCGTTTACACACGTAGTCACGAATGAAAAATGATTTTACACGTGTTGACGCACAAATTCCGAAAAAAGCTTGAATACGTGCGAAAAAGATTTTTCACGCGTGTTCACATCGTAAACCCCCTAAGTTTTCCACATTGAAATTTCTTGATTTGATTCTTTGTTTTATACTCATGCGTTTTGTTTTTAAAAAAACGGTGATATGAATAACATCGTTTGTTTGGCACCATATTGGGCTCATTTTTATTGCATTGCACTCATGTTCGCTTTTGTGCGTTCTGTTTTATATACTTGCTATATTTTTTAAATTTTAAACAATATTTTGTTTACTATTATGTTCTTTCTACTTTTTCATCTTTTTCTACATTTCTTTCGATTAACAAAAATGAGACAAGCCGTTTTATTGGCTCAGTGCCAAAACCGATAATCAGAATTCAATAACAGATGACAATGTGATTTAAAGTTGTGTATTACAAAACTCGATGAAGGAGAAAAATATAATCATAGTGGTTATATTTTTAATATTTCATAAAATATATGAAATATTAGAAATATTAAAAATATAATTTATGTGACTCGTATATTACAAAGACCCTATTCCACTTAAAAAATCATAGTGGTGTAAACACAAATAAATATTTATATCAAGATTAACCCATGATAATTGAGTCGGGTCTACAAATCAGGAAAAATATCTTGAAAACATGATCTTATGCTTCTAATTTACACACTTTTCTCTGTAAATTTAACAAACTATTTACGCTGGAAAGAGAAAGTTTGCCTAACTTGACTGGAAGTTGTTTAATTTCTTTCTTTTATAGTACAGAAAATTTTAAAAAAATACTTGAAGAGATATCTTCCGTAGTTTGCTTACAGATAGATAACCTTTTCGGTTTAATGGAAGATAAATAAAAGTGAAGTTACAGGGCAATTCTTCAATTCTTTTTAAGTTCTGTACAAAAAATTTCCCATATTACTTGAGTTGTCATAGTAGGTTCAAATATTTTTAAGAAATCCGTTTTCTAAAAGTAACTCAAAATACCGAAAAGTTCATTAAATCATCGGTTACAAGAGTTCATCATGATGTTGGTGACAAAAATAACATAAAATTTCCAAAATTTAATTTACGTCAAAAGCTTACATTAAATAAACAAGTGCAACAAAAACCACTGAAACCTGTACTTAATAATACACGTCAAATTTGATCTCCTTCAATGCTGGGTAATTCTACCGGAAGTCGACAATGGCTTCTACCGCAAATTTCAAGATCTATCTCATTCGAAAGAGTATTAAATTTTGATCGAGACTGTAATTTTAAAAAAAGTTTTAAAATATTAACGCAGTGTTGAAGAAAAGGTGAGCATTATGGACTTTTTATCAGAAAAGGACTCACAGTCAGACATCATTCTCGATAACCATAGATAGTCAGGAGTTGTTATTAATGCCAAATATTCTACTATATAATACTATTGAAATGACATGTATAAAAAAGATTTAACAAGCCTAGACAGAGCGCAGCATATACAAGAAAGTTGTAAAAATCGCAGGGGTGGGGGAAAGTAGAATGTGTTTTTCTTCACGTTAGTAAGAGCAAATGTGAATTCAAAACAGAACTCTATCAAATGATTTATTTCTTATTTGCTCATACTATCAGCAAAGATTAGGACAGAGTAATGCTGAGGCCTATTTCCTCAAAATAACAAGTCTTAACTACTCTAAAGATTTGTCAAAGCCTCGTTTTCTACAACTAAACCTCAGCGATTATATTTTTGAGTGTTCTAGATTTAGGACTATTATTAGTAAAGTAACGGAGAAGGTTATATTTCTATTTGTCCAGAAGCCATTGTTGAGGCCTAAACAAGTTTCAGGGTAGCATTTCAAAGATTTTGTCGCTTTTCGTACTAAACTGCAAACAAACCTCCGATTCGTGATCTGCGCAAAAAACCTGCATCGAGTGAAAAATTTGTCAAATATTTATTAAATAAAAATTAAGAAAAGTTCATCGAAAACTTTCAGCGTAATGTTTCCTTCAGGTAGGTTCAAAAAAATCTTTTATATCCAAGAATAGTTTGAAACCAGTGTGATATGCATTGTTAATGACAGTCAACATAAAGTTATTTGG